GAAGTCCATGGTGCCTAGGCAACAGTTTATGCAGTATGCTAACCTAACAGTTATTTACGGAGCATGGTGTTTGAATTCTAAAGTGTACTAAGTTCTTTCTTAGCGCAGAGCAGCCCAAGCTGGCTGTGACCTCAGAGCAGCTCAACCAATAGTATCAAGAGGGGACATGTCTGCAAAGTCGTCTTGTAACATCAGAGTGGGTCAGATGAAAACATTAAGAAACTGAGCAGGCACCCAGAATAGTGGGCGAGGAGAGCAAGATGGAGGAGGAAGCGGTCTTATGAAAAGAGATAAAATCCTAGTAAAAGCATAAGTCCAGCCCACCCACAGTGAAAGACTCTGGCTCCATGCCCAATTCACAGGAAGCAGGCTTAACACACTGGGCCTTTTAGATGGGAAGCTACATGCCCCAGAGCCACCAGAGGGGCTGAGCTCAGCATCTTCAAAGCATGCCACAGGCAGGGAAAGGACTTTGGAGCACTGGTGATAAAAATCCTCCACCTGCACAGCCTTGAAGTAGCTAGGGCAAGAAGCCAAACCATGCAAAACTTTCCGGAGATTCCAGTATTCCCTGCGGGGTTCTCTTGGGACTGAGGAGGAAGTCCCATGCCTGGCACTTAGGCTGGGGGCTTCCTGGTTTAAGGCTAGAGCAGAGAATGTCGTCTTATTGTGGAAAGGTCTTTGTAGAATCCCAGAGACCTTAGTCCTGTGTCCCTAACCCACAGGATTAAGGATGAGTTCACTACTCAGGGATCTTCCGTGGCTGTAAGTCACCAAACTGACTCTGCTATACTAACCTGAGGGTTGCAAGAAACCTGTTCCTGTGAAGGCAAGAGGTTATATGTTAAAAGGAGACCACAGCATAACCCTAAAGTCAGTCACTCCTGCAGAATTTCACAGGTTAGGCTGTCCAGTTTTCTTTGTTAGCTATGAAAAATGGTGAAAGTTGGACTGTGGTTGGATGGGCGGAAGCTGCCTCGGTGGTAAGCACAATTCCTAGTCTGTTCTTGAACCTCGGCATGTCTCTTTGTTCTTTATATTTATTAAAGACTTCAAGGATAAAGGACAGGAAAACCAGAACACATAAAAACCGCGATGAGAAAGAGAATTATATAGGAACATAAAACAAAAATGAAGTATGGTCCAGGGACCTGACAGAGAGATGAAAATTGCCTAAATAATGACTATTGAACTATTCTCTTACAGTTCTAAATTAAATTACTTCCGCCTCAGCAATCAAATATATTGGAACAAAGAGATAAATGTTATGGCTCTTCTGCCCTTCTAAAGTACAGGGGGGGGGGGGGACTGGAAGTTGTTGTGAAAAGTTCTTATTTTCTTTGATCTCAAACAGCTCGGGGCCTCACCAGTTCATGACTGGATGATTGTAACCTCCTATCCCATGATCATGGAGGTGTGGTCTGTCTTCCTTTAGCTGCGCAGACAATCTTTGTAGAAGAAGAAGAAGATATTGGATTTATACCCCGCCCTTCACTACCCAAAGGTGTCTCAGAGCGGCTTACAAACTCCTTTCCCCTCCCCTCCCCACAACAGACACCCTGTGAGGTGGGTGGGGCTGAGAGAACTCTGACACAAACTGCTCTTTCTCAAGGACAGCTGTGCCAGAGCTTGTGACTGACCCAAGGTCACATCAGCAGGTGCAAGTGGGGGGGTGGGGAATCAAACCCGGTTCTCCCAGATTAGAGTCTGCACACTTAACCACTACACCAAACTGGCTCTTTAAGTAGTAAGCACACATACCAAAAAAGGTCGTTTTCTGAAGGAAAAGAAGGCCCTTGCCCAACAAAAAGCAGTAAGATAAACCTGGAAGTGTTGCCTAGTGGCCAGTTTGAGATTTTGCCCCATGTACAGGATGTAAAATTGATTTCCCCGTGAGCGATTGTTTAGATGCAAACTGGTGGCTTTTTCTGGCTTCAGCAATGGCAAGTGTCTTATTTGGTATCCTAGCTTTCCCTCAAGGAGCTTTGGCTGCCATGCTAGGGTTGCCAGATCCCCCCCTGGCCACCAGCGGGGGTCGGGTTGCCAGATCCAGGTTGGGAAATTCCTGGAGATTTTGGGGTGGAGCCTGGGGAGGACAGGGACCTCTGTGGGGGACAATGCCGCAGGGGCCACCCTCCAAAGCATCCATTTTCTCCAGGGGAACTGATCTCTGTAGTCTGAAGATGAGCTATGATTCCAGGGGATTCCCAGGTCCTTCCCGGAGGCTGGCATCCCTACGTCATACCCATGTTGGTATCTTCATATTTCAGTGAGAAAGGTTAGGTTGAGAGGGACTATAAAGCAGAAGAGGATTTTATGTCAGAACTACCTCATCCGGTTTTCTTCACCATCCCTCATGAATCTATCCTATCCTTGGTTTGTGGTTCATATCCTCTTTACAACTTTCCGAGGCGGGCTGGGCTGAGAGACCGCGACTGGGCCCAAGGTGGCATTGCGGGGCTTGAACCTGGGTTCCCCTAGTCTCCATCCATTGTACCACCCTAGCTCTCTCTCGTAGCTGCCCCACACAGAACCACCGCCCTCGTGTTCCCCTCTCCACAGACCTAAAATGAGGGGGAAGAAATGGAGGAATACTCACGGGAAAAGGCGCTTGCCCTGGAAACCACACCGTTTGGTCACTATGGCAACACGTCCCGCAATCTGTTCTTCTGCTTCTAACGAAGCCTGACCACTTAAAATGAGACATTGTGTGTGTGTGTTGAAATGTACTTGGTTTAGGCAGAGGTTTGTGGCTCCTTTTTGCTCGGAAAACAGCCCAACAAAGTTGGGAAGGGCACGAAAGACAGTTTCAGACAGATACTGGGAGCCTTAATGGCCGGTTATCACCACAGCCTCTTGCTTCGGCAGGCACATCGGACTGCAGGCTGTTTCAGATAACCTTAAGCCCTTTTGGTTGAAAGGGAAAAACCCTGATTTAGGGAGCCCTCTAATGTGTAGTCACCCACACCGAAGGTCATCAGATCGTGCTAAGTACCTTAGAGTCTATCTGTACCGGTTTTTCACTTTGGCCTATGTGCATCTCACACTCCTTCAGACAAGGCCTCTTTCTTACGTTTATAAAGGAGTCAGGAAGGTCCCTCTGATTTCTGCCAAAATTCATTCAGCGCCATGGAGTAAAATGGCACAAGCACCCAGCTGGAATCCCTGGCTGCCACTAGAGGGCGCTCCAGTAATTTCTAATATGAAAATACTTTTCTTTCTTTTTTTAGAGTTGTTTTATAATTATTTTATGATTAATGCATGGTTTTTAAGAACTGGAGTACATCCAGTGCTCCATTTCTACACAGAATATAAGGGCTTGGAAGCAGCCTGAGGGTCAACACTACACTGTCCTGTCTTGGATCCAGGGCCAACTCCTCGTCCTTTTCCACAGAACACTCTTGGGCCTCGCTGCCCCTCACCTTCACACTCTCGCGCCTTGGTACGTTTCTGGCCATGACCATCACTCCTCTAATCCCATCACATTCAGCTGCCCAAAAGTCCCCTGCTCCGTCCAATGACTCCACCCTTTCTCCCTTGCTGCCCCTTATACCTGGACATCAGTATAATGTCATCTCTTTCAAATCCTCAACACCTACTTTTTTCACAGAACCCCTTAGTACCCACTCTCCTGCTAAAGCTGAGCACATGCAACAGGAATGAAGCCCATATGACCCCTGGGGGATCTGTTAAGTTCCAAAGGGCCTGCAAGGCGGAGATGTTCCGCCAAGCATACGGCTGAAGACAGCAACCGTTTTCAAGAGTTGAATAGTTCTTAATGCCGATCTCATTCACAGTCTGCTTTCTCCCCTCTTCCCCCATCGCTAATGTAATCTGGGGGGACAGAATTGTATGATGGTACCACATGGCTATTGGGTTTTAGAATTGTATTTTAAATTATTTAATAGATTTTATGTGTTTTGTAAGAATCTGTTGTGAACTGCCCTGAGCCCGCTTGTGGGGAGGGCGGTATGCAAACCTTATATAATAAATAAATAATAAATATTCGTTCTTCCCTTTGTCATAGAATCATAGAGTTGGAAGGGACCTCTAGGGTAATCTAGTCCAACCAGCTCCACAATGCAGGAGATTCAAATATCCCCCCACCCCCCAGTGACCACTGTTCCATGCCCAGAAGAGGGCAAAAAAGCACCCAAGATCTCCAGCTAAACTGGCCTGGAGAAAAATTGCTTCCTGACCCCAAAGTGGCAATCAGCGTTTCCCTGGGCGTATAAGAAAGGGCCACTATGTCAAATTTTAGTGTACACTTTGGTTTTCTTGCACTGTAAAACACCATACACACGAATGATACTATATAAATAATAATTTTGTTGATGCATTTTAAAAAGCAGCAATGTTGTTACCCCTTGCCTTTATTTTGTACATCTTGTCTATTCTTCTAAATGCAACAGCATCCAAAACAGGGAATACTGGTACGCACACTCTACATTAGAGCAATCTACTTGAACAATTCTCCTTCTCCCCCCTACACAGCCTCTCACTATTGTATTTTAAGTCGCTGCCCAAATGTCTGCTTGCATATGTGAATGGGAACCAAGACTGAATTTTTGTGTCCCCAGCTGTTATTTTATGAGTGCGTCATTAAGGGAGCAGCAGCAGATCACTTTTGGGTCTTACTTCAAGCACAATGTGTTTTTATACTGAGGCTGCTGTAGATTTGTAGGTCACCCAGTTAATGTTTTGTGGAGGGATAATGCCTGCATGTGTGAATTAGAATCTTCCAGTTCAGGTTACAGATGCTGCCTTGGTGCCAGGATCTTGGCTTTTAGGTTGGTCTCCAGAATCCAGTCTGGACCTCCTGTTCACCAGCATCCTGAACTATTCCCCAAACAGTTCAACCTCAAGACAGCCCTAGAAGAAGTCCCTAATTTTTTTTGGGGGGGGCAGCAATTTGTAGTGGCCTTACCTTATCAAGGGCACCCACAGACACACACACAAGAAGGTAAGGCCAAGAAAGAGGGAGAAGAAAGGCCTGGAACTCTAAAAATAAGGGTTTATTGTTTTCATCTCTCTTTATTATAAAGCTGTATTTACACAGAACAAATCTTTACAGACACACACATACAAAAAAAAAAAATAGTTACCACCAAGGGTTTTAGACAAGATGCCCCTTGTTGGTATAAATTAGTGGGTTTTATACAAAGAAGTCAACAGCCACCTGAAAAAGGTTATACAGATGTGAGCTCCCACCCCGGGCTCCCTTAAAGCCCCACACACCATTTGCCTGTAATGAATCCAGCCCCAAGCTTCCAAGTGCAAAAAATAAGACAGTGAATGAACCCTCCTACTCCTCTTTCCCTCCAACACCCGCTGTGAGTATCTGGCAAAGACCAAAGCCACAAACAGGAAGTCATTTTTTAAAACGATAATCAGTTTCTCCAATGCAAATTCATCCCTTAAAAGCACTTTGCAATTACGAAGTACATTTCAAGGGTTCAGACATTACCCTGTATGTTATCTAAGTTGCAACATCCTTATAAGATAGGCCTGAATTCCCCCTTCCTTGCAGCGGTGAGGCTGAAGCAGAGAGAAGAGCTGCTTGCATAAGGCCACCTAAGTGAGTTTGTGGCTGATGTCAACATCTGAACGTGGATTTCTCGACTCATGGCTGATGTTCTGGGCCGATACACTGTGCCGGCTCCTGCTAAGTCACCCTCACCCAAGGGTTGGTTTCCTACGCTTTCTGCACAAAGGAAGCAAGCGCTGCTCTCTCTCGGCCTGCTGTGGCGGCTGTCGCTTTGAAGACAAGCTGCCAAGTTAAGTGCCAGGAGATCTTGCCAGGAGATCTGTGCTCTGGCTCAGCTCCTGTCCTGGGGAGACTGCTGAAGTGCGGGAAGGGCAACATGGAACAGACAAGCACCTGCCCAGGTTGGTCAAAACTGGCTTTTGGGCAAGGCAGAGAGACAGCGGGGAAGGTTTTCAAATCCACCCATAGTTACCTGCAAGGCTGTGCCTGCCATTTGTTTTTTTTTTAATCTGCATTTTGCACCAAGAAAGGCCAAGAATCATGAATGAGGTTGAACCAAAGGCAGACCCTGAAGCGAGCTCCCAGAAGAGGACTCCTCGGCCCTGGAAATCGGTATGTGCAGCTTTTTCTTGTCAGGGAGCTGCCTCTCAGGGGAAAGTTTTAACTGCTGCATTTCTGCATATCGCGGAGCTGTTAAAAGCATCAGAGCCTGACCAGGATTTTCTTTGAAAAAAGAGGGCCGCTGCCCTATTGAGAAAGCACAGTGGAGGGGACGGACGCAAAATGGGATCCCAGAGAGACCTGGGAGGAGACTCTCCATCTGACAAAGTGCTTCTTGTAAGGCCCAAAGGCCTTGTCCCAGCTGCCTCCTCAGCCACAGCGGTGACTTGGCAGTTGGTGGGGGGGACGGGGGACGGGACCGAGAAGGACCACAGCTCCCCACCCCCCACAGAGTGGTTTCACCACAAACCACACCTTGGAGCATCCTTCAGAACAATGATGCATTGTGCACCTTCTCCCATGAGGGATATAAACAAGGAGCAGGGACATTAAGGCGGCCCCGATACAAGCCGAGTCCAGTGACCCTTGCTGTGCTGGCAGTGCTGAAGGGGCCGCGTGGCTCAGAGCCGGCCTGGGAGGACAACGGCCATCTCGTGGGCTCGGCACTGCCTACATTTATTCTCACTGTTGCCACGGCTCCATCTGAGCCAGCCCTGTAGGGGGCGCTTGGCTCATCTCGCTCCTGGCCACTAGGGGGCCCTCTAAGGCAATGGCCCCTGGGACACTTTCCCAGGCAGTTAAAGGGCCAGTCAGCCCCTGGATGCAAAACAAAGAGGAGAGCGCCCTTCCAGCTCCATCGCTACCCGTTTCCTTCCCCTCCCCTGGTAACCCCAGAATCCTCTATTTCTCAGGTTCTGCAGAAGGCAACTTGGCAAGGCAGAGAGAGAGAGAGAGGGACTGAGCGAGGTTCTGCCAACAGAGACCAGCCTGAGTAGGAAAAACAGAAATAGGGGAGGACGATGCTGCACACACACTCCTTATACTCAGTGCTGGCCACGGCAGCAGCGCAGACAGGAGGGGGCCACATTCTACCATTGGGGGGGGGGAAGCCTTGAACAAGCAGATGGTTTATCAAGCAGAGAGGTCACGGAAGGGGGGTGGGCTTCCCAGGGAGGGCCTTGACCCTGCAAACAAAAACAGAGAGTCAGTTAGGAGAGTCAACCCCACCCCCTGCAAATTGCTTGTCTTGAACCCTTCCAAGCCCAGGATCCTCTCCCCCTCCAGCACAAATCGGCTCAGTGGGCGAGACCGACCCTGCCGCTGAGGGCCGTTTTTGTCACCCTCTTGTGGAAACAGACCACGAGGCCGACTAGCCAAGCAGCCATGGCCTATGCCCAGTGCCCAAAACCACCACTTGCTCAATAGTCTCAGAGGATGGACTTCACTGCCACAGGAGGTGGTGGTGGCGGCTACAAGCATGGACGGCTTCAAGAGGGAATTGGATAAGCATATGGCGCAGAGGTCCATCAGTGGCTATTAGCCACAAGGTATAGATAGGGACTCTCGGTCTGGGGCAAGGCATGCTCTGTATTCTTGGTGCTTGGGGGGGGGGCAACAGTGGGAGGGCTTCTAGTGTCCTGGCCCCACTGCTGGACCTCCTGATGTGTGACAGCGTGTTGGACTGGATGGGCCATTGGCCTGATCCAACATTGGCTTCTCTTATGCTCTTATGTAGGTTCCTGGCTTTGATCCATCTAGCAGTGGTGGAAAGTCCAGTCGAGTCGTAGCCTATTTACGGTGGCCCCATAGGATTTTCAGGGCAAGAGATTTTCAGAGGTAAGTTTGCCAGGTCTCCCCTGGCCATTGGTGGGGGGTGGAGGGTGGAGGGGTAGAGTTGCCAGATTCAGGTTGGGAAACTTCTGGAGATTTGGGGGGGTGGAGCCTGGGGAGGACAGGGGACCCCAATGGGGTACAAATGCCGTAAGAGTCCACCCTCCAAAGCATCCATTTTCTCCCGGGGAACTGATCTCTGTCATCTGGAGAGGAGCTGTAATTCCGGGGGATCACCCAGTCCCACAAGTAGGCTGGCATCCCTATTCAGTGGTGATCTGTCCTAAACGAAATCTCGTCCCCTGTTAAACCCAACTTAAAAAGTGGGTATTGCCGGTGCCACCCCGTTCACAATCCAAGGGCAGACAAAATGAAGTCCTTCTTCACACAATTAAGTTAGTTAACTGATGGGATTCAGACATGGTGGTTACTAGCTCAGGTGTCCTGGGCCCTACCTACTTGAAGGACCATCTCTCTGATTGTGAACCTCTGCAGGTCCCACTGGCCACTGGCAGGGGGGAAGGGGGGGGTAGGTTGCCAGCAATGTTCCCTCTAAGATGTGGAGTCTTGTGAGCAAAAATCCTACTTGGTGAGCTGCTGGCATTAAAGTTGTGAGCGAGTGATTTGGCTCCTGCATAAATTAGTTTGCTGTGGAGCCCTCCTTCCTGAGCTAAGACAAAAATGTGTGAGCCAGAGGCTAAAAAACTGTGAGCTGGCTCACACTAACTCAGCTTAGAGGGAACACTGGTTGCCAGTTCCAGGTTGAGAAACTTCTGGAGATTTGGGGGTGGAGCCTTGTGGAGCACAGGGACCTCAGTGGGGGAGAAGGCCACAAGAGTCCACCCTCCAAAGCATCCATTTTCTCCAGGGGAACTGGCCTCTGTCGTCTGGAGATGAGCTGGGATTCCGGGGGATCCCCAGGTCCCCCCTGGAGGCTGGCATCCCTTCATGCAGTCACTGCGCTCCTGCTACCAATCCCCTTTAGAATGCCATCTGTTGCCATTCAGGCTTCCTCCATTGCGCCCCAATGGCTGCGGAACAGCCTCCCAGAAGGGGTGAGGCAGGTGATGGTCTTTTGGATTTTCTGGCAAAGCGGACGCTGCCTTATTTGTTTAATGATGTGTTTTAAGGATTTTAATAGACGACTTTTCTATAGTATGGGTTGCTGTGGACCGCCTTGGATCCTGACAGCGTTGGGGAGAAAGGAGGGGTACATAAATACCCTAAATCAATAAACCGGTCGTGCTAAAACGAAATTCGATACATTTATGGAAGACAAATCCACTTAAGAGAGTGAGTGGCTGTTGAGTGGCTGTTAGCCAGGATGATGGCTAAGTGGAACCTCCAGGTTCAGGGTCAGGGTGCCGTAATGCCAGCAGCTGGGAGGCAAACAGAAAGAAATGTCCGTGCCTTCCCCTTCCTTCCTTGTGGACTTCCCAGAGCCATTCACTTAGCCATTAAGGGAAGCACAATGATGCACTAGAGCGGACCCTTTGGTCTGATTCGGCAGGGCTCGTCTTACACCCTTTCTTTGTCCAGGCACAGAAAGTGGCCTTCAGCTCATTCCCCCAGGTTAGACCTCTCTACATTTGGGGAAAATTCACAATGAAGTCCATATTCCACTGTGGCCAGTGGAAGAGGACCACAACCCTTGCAGCTACACTCCGGAATACACCTGATGAAATGCAGCCAGGTGATTCCTGACCTGTGATTGCCCACCCGTCCCCCTCCCTCCACCAGCACCCCCCCCCCTGCATTCTCTACCTGCGCTAGAAAGGCATGGGTCCCTTGTGGGAGAGGCGGGGGCGAGGACGCCGATATTTCCGCCAGCCATTCGGCCGGTGTCCCACAGCGCTCCGGACTCCTTTGGGATGCACCAGGTTCCGGATGTGCCCTTCCCTGGGCTCCTTCCCATCATCGGATGTTTCAGTCAAAGGCCCTGGAACAACAGAAAGGAGAACGTTATCATGTCAGTATGGGAGGAGGGGGGGGAACCCTCTGCCACACCCTAATCTCCCAGAGGTTGCCAACCTGTTCCACAATGAAGGGGCCCCAGGTTTCCTTCCTGAAGGAGAAGGCAGGTCGGCATATACTGTGTACAGTGGAGCTTTGCATCCAGATTACCCTTATTTACCTTCTTTCAGCAAGCACCGATAGAGTATCGGACTAGGATCTGGGAGACCCAGGGGTTGAATCCCCTCTCTGCCATGGAAGCTTGCTGGGTGACCTCGGGTCAGTCACTCTCAGCCTAACCTACCTCACAGGGTTGTTGTGAGGATAAAAACGGTGGAGAGGAGAATGATGTGTCGGCAACTTTGGGTACCCACTGGGAAGAAAGGCAGGGTATAAAAGAAAATAAATACAAATGCACTAAACAAATACCTTTTAAATGTATGCATGTGTGTGTGTGTGTATACATAATATATATACACATACATTCAAAAGGTTTATTTATTTAGGGGACAACATAGACACCCTCCCCAGGGAAACAGAAAATGCATATTATGGCACTAACATTTATGACTTCCTCCCCAGAAGATTATGAAGTGTGTAATAGTTTGATATTCCACTGCACGACTTTTTCACTTTTGATAACATATAAATGGCAGTGTATGTCTCAGGACGGCATGCAAATCTGGTCCCTCAATGCTGCCTACTCTGGTAGCAGATCTCTGAGGTCTCCGGCAGAGAGAGGTCTTCACTTCTGCATGCAGAGCTCTGCCACTGAGTCTCCCCAAAGCTGGACGCTGCAGCTTGAACCTGTGACCTTTCGCATGCACTGCAAGTGCATGTGAGCTATGTTATTTCCCCACTGGACAACCCTTGTTTATCAACAGCTGCATTAACTTGGAAAGTGAGGCCGATTTCCAGGAAATGTGCTTCTCAGAGAGGCCTGCATAAGAATTCGACAATAAAGTCTGTTAGCTTTCGCATGGCTACAGTATCCCGATTGTTGTCATAACTGTAGAAACCTGAGCATTTTCCCAATGTCGAGCTAACTTTAATTATTAACAAATGAGCTAAAAGATTCTCTGCGAGTATAAACTTCCACATCTTCCCTACCGCCATGCAACAAGATTAATATGGAACATATGCTTGTGAACTTTTAAATCCGTTCTGCTGCTTTCAAGGCTGGAGGTGAACACACACACACCCGCCACACACAGATATATCTGTGGCCTCTACACTCGTCATCACACTATCAACACCCCCTGGCGATGCATCCTTTCCATCAGACCCTTCACACAGATATATCTGTGGCCTCTACACTCATCACACTATCAATACCCCCCGGCGATGCATCCTTTCCATCAGACCCCACTCTGGACACTTTCATGGTATTTTGAAAATATGAGTAGGAATGACAAGGAGACAAAAAGAAATGTGAAATGTGTGTGTCCAGCAAGGAAATGATGCCGCTATTAGTCTACAGTAAACCCTGCATCAATAAGGACTAGAAATCTGGGGAGGGGCAGATATGAGATGGCGAATTGTGCACTTGGTTTCTCATTGCCGCTGTTATTAACATTAATAACCCTGTTATTAACATTATTAACCCTTCCACCCGGCGCTCAGAATAGTGTCTCTGGTGCCCTCCACTACAACCCCAGTTTTATCCTCACAACAACCCTGTGAGGTAGACCAGGCAGAAAGGTGATGTGCTTCATGAGTAAGCAGAGACTGTGAACCAATTAAACTATGAACCAGCAGCACGGGGGCGGGGCAGGGGGGGGAATGTCCTGCCCTTTTAACAAAGGCTTAATGGAATGTTACCAACCAAGTGATGTTATTTACCTCCATGCCCTGAAAAGCTTCAACCTCCTCATTAAACCTCTATTAAAGGGCCAGGACGTATTGCCTCCATGTTGTTGGCAACCCTAGACACCAGGGCCTCCCTAATTCTGGTCCGACACTCTCACCTTTGCACCACATTGGCACAATGTAGAAGAATATGTAACACTCACGCAGCCTAGGGCCAGAGTCAATGTCTGGCAGAACAGGTCAGTTGCAGAGAATTTGGCAGCTATTTCACATCCGGCAAGTGTTACACAAAGGCTTACATTCTCACCCTATACAGGTACTCTTAATTGGTACCCAGAAGAAGACAGACTCTACCAAATGGCATGCTATTGTCTCTCTAAGGGCAAGTGGGGCCATTCAGTTTCGCGGCTCGCAACAGCTTCAAATAAAAGCTTGCATGTAGCAAAGAGCTACTGCAGACAAGACACCGCTAACAAGCATTTTGAGTCTCCCCAGATACAACCTCAAACACAATATTTTCCAGTAAAGGCACTGTACGCACTCAGATCACATGGTGAATATTTCAAAAAGAATAACCAAAAAGTTATGCAGTAAGAAAAACAGAATTATGCAATCTCGGTTGGGCAAATCTGCACACTTTGGGGCTCCCACTGGTGACGTAACCGGGTGAAGAGCTACAAAGAGACCTGCTCCCTGGAAATCCTGCTTACCTCCTTATCCCTACGGGAATGGAGAATTCAGCTGTCAGGACCCACAGAGTGTCAAACCTATTCACCAGCAGAAGGACCAGAACTTTTGTTTTAAAACAAAAGCTAAGGTTCTTGTGTTGAGTCTCAGGTTCTCAAGGTTCTCCTTGGTTAATTACTTGGTTGTAATCTCATAATGAGATCATGAAAAAGCCATGCTGCTCTGGTCAAGTGACATACGCATCTGGGTGCATCAGCAGCTGGATTTCGACAGTCTGCTCGGGAGCCCTGGATCTGGCAGTGGAACACATGCAGCCATTTAAAAAAAAATATCGCATGAGCAACACGAGCACTCGCATTCTGCTGTAAAGCACTGAGGATTTGGAAATCAACGTTTCCAACAGGAATGCTCCCTGAGTCCACAAAAGCGGGTTACTCATTGGACTTGCTCATTCCTGCAATACGGAGTCTTTGTTCACTAAATGTGTGGCCAGCCACACGGGGAGATGTTGGCAGGCCAAGAACAGGAAGGAGGAGGTGGGCAATTTTATAGACGGGTCCCCCATTTCAATGCCAGGCCAAGTCTCCAGGCTTGCAGAAAGCCTCGCTGGGCCTCCAGAAAGGAAGGACTCTGCCCCTGTAATCTCATCTCAAAGGGTGCACCATCCATTTCCTTCCGAGGAGGAAGCATGGGGGGAAGGGGGGGAAGGGGAGGGGCGTTCGGCCCTCTCCCATGGATATCCTCATGTCACCAGGTTAGATAAACCCCTCTCCTCCTAACCATTCATCCCAAAATACGACTTCCTCTCTTCTGCATCCAGCCCGTCAGCTTCCCTTGCCTTGTTGTTCGGCACAGGATCAGAACCAAGCCCAGTACCTCAAACACAAGCCGGTCCCAAACACGTAACCCTGTCTCCTGCTGGAGTGGATGTGTGGCACAGTGCACACTTTACATGTAGAGAATCCCGGGTTCAGTCCCTGCCATCTCTAGCGAAGAGACCTCTGCGGGAGAGTGGTGCTAAGCAGGTAAGACAGCTCTGGCTAGATGGATTCGTGGCTCCTTGTATCTTTATCCAGGTCACAAAAAGTCCGAACTGTACCTGCTGCTCCTTCAGCATCTAACGCAACACATTTATAATCAGATCTTTGCACATCATATTTGTTAATGTGGAATTAGCATCAGTGCTTAGGGTACACACTCACAGTTGCCAATATGGAAAGGTTAATTTTCTTGGGGATGGGGGAGAAGGGGCTGGGAAGTCATCATCATCAGTCTACAAGCCACATCCCTTTTGTGTGAAAGTGGGATATGCTAGTCAGTGAGGAAAGGAATAGCACTCTTCACGTGCTCAGAAACACCTTTCATATTTTAAGAATGAGTCCCATTTTGGTGTAATGGTTAATTTTGGTGTAGTGGTTAAGAGCGGTGGACTCTAATCTGGGAGAACCGGGTTCGATTCCCCACTCCTCCACTTGCAGCCGGCTGGGTGATTTTGGGTCAGTCACCGTTCTCTCAGAGCAGTTCCCTCAGAGCTCTCTCAGCCCCACCTACCTCACAGGGTGTCTGTTGTGGGAAGAGGAAGAGAAGGAGATTGTAAGCCACTCTGAGACTCCGAGTGAAGAGTGGGGCATAAATCCTTCTTCTTAATGTTAAGCATTTACTTAGTGTGTACAATTAAATACTGTGCAAAGTTTGGTTGTCCCGTGTCAAAAAAGGTATCACAAAATTGAAAAAAGATGCAGAAAAAGCCCTCAAAGATGATGGAGTACCTACCTTATGAGAGGGGCTTTTTTCATTTTGGAAAAAAAAATGAATGAAAGGAGGATGTGATAGATGTTTATAACATTATGTAGGGTGTGGGAAAAAATAGACAGGGAGAACTTATATCTCCCTCTCCCGGCACTTAGAAAAAAACCCAAAGAAATGGATGGGCAGCAATTTTCCCTCTAAGCTGTGGAGTCTTGTGAGCAAAAATTCTACTTTTTGAGCTACTGGCATTAACGTTGTGAGTGAGCGATTTGGGTACTGCATAAATTAGTTTGCTCTGGAGCCATCCTTCCCGAGCTAAGACAGAAATGTGTGAGCTGGAGGCTAAAAACCTGTGAGCTGGCTCACACTAACTCAGCTTAGAGGGAACACTGATGGGCAGTAGTGTCAGGCCAGTCAAAAGAAAACATTTCCTCAGACAACATATACTTGATTTGTGAAACTCACTGTCACAAGATAAGGCGACAACCTTAAGCTTTAAAGGAGAAATCAGAACCATTCACCGGAGGAGAGGTGTACCTGGTAGTTGGCTATTCAATTGTTCATCATATTGAATGACAGCTAAATAGAAGGTTCTGAAGCGGCCATGCCCTTGAATGCTTGTTGCCAGGAGGCAAAAGAGGGGGTCGGGGCTCTTGCCTTCGTGTCTGTCCTCTTTCCGGAGCCACAGAGCTGGCCACTATTGAGAATAGGAAGTAGATGAGAGGGACCTTGGTCTGACCC